CAAGTAACTGATGGAATCTGAAGGCTTCAAAATATTATCGTATAATCTCAATTTAGGAGGTCGGACGGATTGGCCAAGACCTCTTGGCCAATCTTAGAGGGCAAACCTTCTAGGAGGTATCAGAACAAACCAAAAAAAACTCAAACAATTAAACATTTAGAAAGTGTTTTAAAATGTAAAAGAACGCTTGAAGTGAATTACGGCTGCCCTGCAGAAGTTTCACTTGAAAGCGCTAGATGTGTTACGGGCGATGAAGAGGCTAAATCATTAATTTCACTGTATTTAAAAGAACTTTGGATAAATAAAAAGTTTTTTTTTCCTACCTTTTCAGAAATTTTTAGGTATAAAACTGTTAGAAAATTACAAAATGAAATTAGCAGGAGAATATAAAATTAAGAATATTTAATTGAATAGTAATATATCTTTTATCAGAATCATATTATACATAGTTCAATAACTTGAATCGTGCAAAACTCAAGTCAATTTGAACTATTTTACAATATCACCACACAGCACAAAATATTCCCAGAAACTCATTTCAGAAACTGATTTTCATACAAAAAACTTTGTTTTTTATATTTCAATGTTGGCAGCTATGTTATCTGAAAAACAGTGTTATGAACCTATTTTTTCCTGCCTTCTGTTTTATTTACAAAAAGAGGTATACTTTATCATGGAATTTTGCTACAGTGCACACATATCACATGTATGATTGGTAGAAAACCTCCGTATTATACAAACCTGTGCAACATAGCACTAGTTTGTTGTCAGTGCTCTGTCCAGAATCATGAGGGATCACCTCATGCAAAAGTTTATATTGCATTAGCATAAGTTAATACTTAACTAGCATTTGCTATACAATGTTGTCAGTGTACCTGGAGATTGGCAACTAAAGACATATTGTTTTGCTAAATTTGGTCTTGATTTTATCGCAGGCTGAAGAATTTAGATCTGAATTATATTATTTTAGTTATTTATTATAATTACATTTATTTCGGCACATACTTAAGGCTTATGGGAGTCCCAAATGTATAAGTTAATCTGAATTATCTGATTATTATCTAATTAAATTTTCTGAATCTTGAATAAGTTCCCATATGTTCTTAAATGTTGACCAAGGCTAGACATTTTGCCACCCAGTGCAATCTTTGCTTGTCTAAATTCTGCTGCCATGTGCCTCACTAAATTCTGAAAATTTTGCTGCCTCTAAATTTTTCATCCCAGTGCCTTTCCTAAATTCTAAAGATTTTGTCATATTTTTTTTTTTTTTTTTTTTTTTTTTTTTCTTTGTAAAATTTTGTTGCTTGTTGCAGCCATGCAAGCTCTAGTGCAGGCCCTCATCTTATCTGGATAACAAATCAGTTCTTTTTTATTTCAGACTGTACTGAAGAAATCTTTTGGACTACAAGTAGCATTTATAAAATCTTTTTCTTGCATTTGAGAAGAAATTTCTGTTCATAAACACATTTAACACTTTGCTATGCAGTTCACTGAAGTCTATAATCATTGCCAAACGTAATGCCAACATAAAAGGTTACCTATGCTGTTCTATATACAGTTGGTAATATTTCAAACAAATTGTTTTAGACATCACTCTGTGAATCATTTTTTAAGTTGTCATTCATTGATAGTCATGTAGTGATGAAAGCGAAAAATAATAATAAACTATTTTCCTGATTGGCACCAAGGATATAAATTTTTCAGTAGATATAAAATCAGTGATGAACTTTGGTGTAATGTTTTGGTTTAAGATGTGTTAGCCAAATTATTGATTACTCTGTGACTTTAAAATAGGAATTTCAAGGTTATTTTCCATTGCCTTGTTTGCCTCATAATCATGGGAACAACAGCTGAAAAAAGGTTGACTTGCTTAATTTTTCTCCCTCACCTCATTTCCATTTAGCATGTCATGCTTCATGAAAAGCACACAAATATATAGGATGACTTGAACTAAAGTCTCAGATGATGTGAAATAAATAATTTCTGTCTGGTAATAATTTCATGAGTTATGATGGTGAAAGAAGAGGGATGACAACAGCCTTGAAGTTCCTACTATAAAGTAGCAGACTGTAACAAATAATTTTGTTCCTTCCTGGTTATAATAAATGATTGTATGTTCTTACATGGAAGTGTTTTATACAGAGTGAAGTGAAATTAAGAATCAAGACCCTCAATGTGCTTTATTATGAAAAAAATATCAAATGGGCATTCACTGACACATTAAACATACAAAAAATATCTAGGGAAAAAAAGTGCTGCTGGTCTGGAGGATATTGGTCATCCAGATTGGTCATCAGACTTTGTACTGTAACTACTTTTTGCCTTTTATTTCTGTGTTTTAAATTGCAGCCATAAATTTAAAATAATAAATTATTATTTTGATTTTACACATGTAATATGAAAATAACTTTTCAACTAATTTACTACTTTAATGTAATACGTATGTATGTTTCATCTAGTGTCAAAATTTTAATTACATAATGTAAGTAAAAATGCCTAATTTGATAGTACTTTTTGGGGGGTTCCTGAGTTATTCCAGGACAAACTGTAATAACTCTGCTAGTTTATCATAGAAATATCAAAAATAGTGTATAATGCTTCATACAGGTCAAAAACTTGAAAAACTCTTTAATTTTTAATCAAATGAGAGAATGGTTGAGTTTTAATGGAGACAAAATAAGATTAAAATAGAAAAAGGTACTAATAAGTCAGAAAATGTTTGGAAGCAAAGTGAATTTTTAAAGTCTAATATCAATTGTGCTTGACCTAAAAGCAATACATGATCCTGCAAAATAACTACAATTCAAAAGATATCGGATCAAATAACATCAGATGACAAAATATGTAGGTACCTAAATGTTTGCAATTCAATGAGCACTGATTATAAATCTACTATTAGTGTCAGGCTCTGTGTTCAGTTTTTTAATATTTAGAAAGTGTATTGTCTTCTGTACTAGGATTATTCTTTTTAACTTTAATGTGATACTACTTTGTACTAGGATTTTCTTTTTAACTTTAATGTGATAATTTTCAGAGTTTTTTATGCTTTGAAATTTTAGATAATAAGATTGGATAAATTTTTAAAAATCATTTAACTTTACTAAGCATTTTTTTTTTTTTTTTTTTTTTTTTTTTTTTTTTTTATGAACAGAGTGTTTGTTATTGATTCTGGTTATTAATACTATATCCAAGTAATTCTAATATTTTATGGTACTGATACAGTAAGACTTCAATATACAGTCAAAAGTCGTTAATTTGGACACCCATAATCCGGAATGATCTATAATCCAGACCTCAAAGCTACAAACTTTCTGTGCATGCGTCGTGTTGACACATGCGCGTAAGACCTTTACAGCTGCGAATATGCATGTGCACATGCCCAAAATACGTTTATGCATGTGCGTTTAATGTATAACGGACGGTATAAGCTAAGCAAAAATTATCTAATTCAGTTAATGTTGCAGATTGCGTTGTTCTTTAATCTTCCAATTGGATCTGGCTTATTATTTTTTGCAGACTGTTAGAGCAATTTTATAAAAGTAAGCTTGAACTTTCGATTATGTCAAATAGAATTTCCGATATATATTACTATTATGTAAAGAATCTGCAAAGCGAAAGTATGTTTCGAAGTCTATTAAACAAAAAGTGGAATTGCTGCAAAAAAAAATGGATAAAGGCATATCCTTTGTTTATCTAACCATTCCGAAATCTGTTTATCAATTTCATGCTGCTCTGCGGCGGGGGAATGCTGCGGCGCGCATTGAATTGGAAGTTGATCTGTCAGCACTATCCTTATCTTCAGGGCAGATGTTTTTATTTTATTTGGCTTATAATTCCTTACTAAATGTAGTATTTCATCTCGATATACTCCGTACTCCATCTTTGATATGATTTAAATCAAATTCCTCATCATTATAATTCGCTTCCGATAGCGAAGAAAGTAAAGTAAACAAATAAATATTAAGCTTTTTTATGTAAATTTTGATACCCTTTATTTCATAAATTACGGTTTCATATTTTTAATGTTAGAATTTCTGCATGCCATCTTACCAGATTTAAACTGATGATCTATAATCCGGAATCGCCGAAGTCCCGACGAGTCCGGATTAATGACTTTTGACTGTAATGTGTTTTGCAAACTGTAGCAATCCTTATATAAAACCATCTCATGAAATGGAATTTTAATATATAGCTTTAATTAGCCGAAAGGAGGGGATTAATTGGAAGTTGCTATGTAAACAAAATTGAAGTTGTAATTGGAAAGTAATGATTTCTGTCTAAAGCATCCCAAAATATTCCAGAGATAAATTTGTTTTAGCATCAAATTGTAGAGACATTAGGTTTTTTTTTTTTTTTTTTTTTTTTTTTTTTTAAGCAGGCAAGATGAAAAATTAGCAACCGCCTTCACCGGAAATCGAACCACGGACCTCTGGAATACCGGCTCAGCGTGCAAAACCATTACACCTTGAAGGCACACTAGGAAGGCAGGAGAAATACTTTATAAAATAAGAAACTTCAGAATCCTTACTCTTTAAAATACTTTTTTAATTATCTTGAAAATTAACCAGTAAAGGAATTTAAAGAAATTTTCATAGAAATGTCCAAAATATTTCAGTCAACAAAAACATCTAGCCACTGGTAGATAAAGAGTATTAACAGAATGTTATTTTCGAAGACAGTTATGATGATGATAATTAAAGCTGTTTTGTAATGTGCAGTGAAAAAATATAAGCACATTTTAAAATTTTATTAATTTTGTATTTGCTTTGTAATTTATACCTTTTGTTACATAATATTTTTAAGGGTATATCTTAAAGAAGATTCAGATTGTTCTAGATTGTCCGAGGTTATGTGTTCAATCTATGTCTTAAATAGTAGATTATTATAATGTGGCATTTTTCTGCAACCTAATTTCCACATTATATGAGAATTATGTATATTTGGTAGTACTTATTGATTACTTTATGGTATGAGCTATATGTTGATTTTCCCTTTGATAGTGGTGCATGCTGTTCACATTATTACATGAGCACATGAAAAGTCTTCCTGAAGACCACCCTTTGTTTGAAGTGTATTTAGAAACATTCCATAGTAAGTTGATTTGCAATTTAAATGATTATTTAGCTGTTTGTGGAAATTCAAGGTGACCTTTTCTCTCTCTCTCTTTTTTTTTTCCCCAAAGCATTCAGCGTATTGGTGTCATCTCTTTTTATGCACTTTTTATCTGTATTTAGTTTTAAATTTTCCATAGATAATCAACTTCTATGCAGTTCTTATATGTCTTCTATTCTGGTAATGAATAATATCTACCAGTATAGAAAATATCTAGCATCATTTGGTAATTGAGCTATTTTAAAGAAGACATAGCACTGACAGATATTCATAAATACATGGTAGCAGGCTATAATGTGTAGCAATTTGCTAATCTATCCTTGAAAATGCCATGGGGGAAAATGATCCCATACCAGGCTTCTGTATTGATTGTGCCATCAAAGGAATATGTTGGAAAATAGATGAGTGACAATTTTTCAGATTTTTATCAAAATGAACATCAGCATTGGATCAATGGTAAAAGTCCTGCATGAAAATTTATAGCTAAGAAAAATACTGCTTTTGATGGTTACTTAGAATATCAATGCCAGAAACGAAGAAACATCAAGTCAAATGCTGTCAAGAACTAGTGTTCATGATAAATGCCTGGAGAATTTTTAGTCTTGGCTGTTGATGAACTTAAACTATAACTTCACTACTGTGGCCCAGAAATGAAATGCAAGAGCATAGTTGGGGAAGTAATAATCTAGATTCCATGAGCTCAGAAGCTAGAAAACTTATGGAAAGATTTTGAGCACCATTTTGGGAAATGGAGAGAAACCCCAGCTTATTGATTATATACCATGTAATACTGAAATATTAAATTCTTATTATGATAAGCATTTTCCTTCATTCCAAGAAGCTGTAAAGATAAAAATCTGATCTGTACACCACATGATTTCCTTGTACGGAATATTAAATTCTACACATTTTTCTTGCATTTCATTTAAATATATTTCCTCAAATTTCATTTGAAAAATATAAAACACAAAATGCAGTTAATACAATTTTAAAAAGAATTTTTACAATTGGAATTAGAGTTTCTATGCAAAAACAAGCAATTTGGCCAGCCAGTAAGAAGGTAGATTTGTCAGGGCACAAAATTAAAAATTTATTTTTGGTCCCACTCAGCAAAAAGACACTGAAGATGCAGAAACTAACTTAATTCACTATTCTGCCAAGATTTCTAATGTAGACAAAGTATGGCTGGTATGGTAAGAAAATTAGGCTTAGCTGCACTTAAGCAACTTTAAATTGTTGATAATTCTACAACTATTGCATGCAGATTATCTAAATTCATAAAAGCTTTAAGTGGAAGATAATAACAACATAATTAAATCATTTTTAAAGGAAAAAATCACTTCTCACCAGAGCTAATGTCAATAAGCATTCATTGTTGATGAATTCACTTGTTCTCATTTGAGTTTAATAATTTCTCTGCAGTATTCTTTATGAAATTACTTCCAAAATGCCATTAGTGTGTCTTTCTTTCATTCATGTAGTGCTTTATTTGCATAGATGTATAATGGTGCCTGACATAATATGTTTTGAAAGTTTTTGTGATTGATCCATTAATTGGGTTAAGAAAGTGGTTTTTGCTGAAAGGAGTAAAACCTATACATTTGTATGCAATGTTTTAGTGGCTTCAGTAACATGTGCTGGAGCATTACTGAGAATTAGAACTTTAAAGCTCAGGTTTTGCTATTCTAAATAATGTTTGACTTCTTTAATGACTGAATTTTCAATTTAGTTATTAAACCTAGTTACCTATTGTAGCTCAGTCGATGCTCAGCAGCTTACCATGTATAACTGAAATTCTCACGTTGGAGAATTTAAGAGGAGACAATGAACGTATATACCCAAAATTGTGTTTTGCAAGTCTGCGTTCTTCAAAATGTAATAAAAATTATAAAATAATAGGTTTGATTTGAGTTATGTTACTATGGCAAAGCCTCGAGGGCTCTGCCTAAGGGAAGGGATGCCTTCATGGAGGACTTTCTAAGAGAAACTGCCTCATATATACCTTACACATGGGGAAAACCATGAAAACACCCATACAGCCACGGGATTCAAATCTCAGTCTGAAATACAGTGTTCAGTGACTTTACCGTTCGGCCACTAGTGGGCTGTGTAAAATAATAGGAAAAGACCTGAAATTCACCGATTCATTTGATATAAAAACTCAGAAAATCCCTCTCTCCTCCAAGTTTTGTGGAAATAATTTTATAAATTCGCTGCTTTTTGATAAAATTACTGCCTTTGAAACATTCATGTAACTATTATTTTAATGCAGTTGCAATATGTCCTCTGACTTGTTTTCTTCTTTGTATATATAGTAAGAATGGCATTCTTTTTTGGGGGGGTTCAATTTTATTTATACCATTTCCTGAATTTGACATGGTATCTTATTTTCTAAAGTTGCATTTCTATTCGTAAGAATAGGCTTATTATGATGTTTAGTCCTCATGCTTTCGTGAGAGAGCTCTAAAATTGCTAACATTCATTTCAAAAAATGGTACTACTCCGTTTTGAGGGCCGTAAAAAAATTGCTAACATTCATTTCAAAAAATGGTACTACTCCGTTTTGAGGGCCGTAAAAAAATTGCAGCGAAAATGTATGCATAAAAGTTCAAAATCTAGCAAATGCACCCATTTAACAACGCGCCCATTTAACAGCACGCCAAATCTAGCATATGCGTTGATTTCAGATTGCGTAATTTCATATAGTTCTATATTTCTTAAGATGCCATTGAAATACCAGTTAAATTTTTTAATCCTTTCTTGATATCCAATGGATTTAGCGATTTTGGAATTGCCCATGACGAAAAGTCTGCAATAGAATTTTGGGTAAAGTGCAGAATCACCCACTGCTTGACACGTTTTTAAGAATTGCAAATACTCAGTATCCATGTACACAACGACCTATTTTCACTTTTAAAAAAAAATCCCAGAATTGCACAAAAATGGCTCTGCACACACCCTTCGCTTTGTCTATGTACACATTGACCTATTTTCACTAACTAAAAGGGTGTTGGATAAGGTTTCTCCACACCCAGGATTTGGCGATTGGGTCCCCTGGAAACCCTTAGGAAGGGGAATATATAAGGTATTTCTCCCACTTTCTTTGCGTGCCTTCGTGGTGTAGCGGTTCTGCACGCTGGGCCGGTATTCCAGAGGTAAAAAGTAAAAAAAATTTGACAAAAATGCAATTGTTTTTATCCTTGTAAAATGAGGCAAACAAATAAGTGGGCGATTCTGCACATTACTGAGAATTTTTTCAAAGAAAAAGCATCATTCAGTATAAAAAATTATGTTTGAACAACCAACGAGATGAAATTATCCTTTAGCGATAACTCGGTAGCGAAATAGCAATGCAGGCATCCATTCAGTTATGTTTAGCAATTTTTATATAAATTTTAATAATGATCTGAAATAGTTACTTACTCTTATGCATCCATTCAGTCATGTTTAGCCTTTTTTATATAAATTATAATAATAAAATAGCATTATATGAAATTAACCTTTCATCTAAATTAAAATGTCAATCTTAGATAGTTATTTACTATTATACTTCCTTTCTTGCATTAGGGTTGCTGCTATTATTTTTGGCAGCACTGGCATCAACAATAGTTTGGTGATTTTTTACGCTGCTCAAAACCGAATAGTACCCAAAATATTAATTATTTTTTATTTCTTTCTTCTTCCCATCTAGGTGTGCTAGCTCATTTAGCTGAAACTCTAAAGCCTGTTGAATTACTTGGACTTCTTCCACAAGAAAAAGATCCTATTTTTGTACCATATGTAAAAAGATGTGTAGATAAACACCAAGCAAATCTATTAAAAGATAAAATTGTATCTCTTGGCCAAGAAATTAAATCTATGATGTTAAGCTAATATCTTAAATACACCATTCGTATTATATTAACTTATACTTTCTTCCCTTTAAAAATATATATACATGTTTCATTATTCTCTAAAGCAAACATTATTCTTAGAATTCATGTAGTATTATGAATGAAATCATCCACGTTTATTAAAATATTGTGTTTTCTTTTATAGTTATTTATAAAGAAAAGTGTATAACATTCTCTGTAAATTATTTTGCTAAAAGTTTCTTTAAATACTTTTGTGATCACTTATGATTATCAATAAGTATTTTCAATTCAGATTGCAGAATATCATAATTTTGTAAAGAAAAACTTGTTTATTTTATTTAAATTTTTATCTAGTTGGTTTACATGTTGTTATATGTACTGCATGTTAAGTTATTTTCCATATAGGCTTGTATATTTTCTATATATTATGAACTTGTGTTGTTACGCCATAGTAATTTATTGTATTTTTTTTCTCATATTATATGTAATATTTAAAATGTTTTTAATAAATGGCTTGATGTCATAAAATAAAAAAATGCATCTCTGCAGTGTTTTTGCATTATTTCAAATTTTAAGCATGGTATTAGAAGTTGCACTTTCAATTTTTTGTAATTCTTTGGCAGCTGTGAAAAGATATTTTGTTCTTAAGATTTTGATTCAAGGAATCGTTTTTAAGGGGTTGTTTGGATATTGGATTGCCATGGAATATTGTATGTCAGGGCTTAAATAGATGTTCTTATTTTGTATACCTGTTGCAAGTTTCACCCAATGGAAAAATATGAGTTATCTGAGACTGTTGTGTAAAGCATTGCAATATATCGCTTCTTGGGAAAGCCAGAAAGGTTGACATCATTATCCAGTCCTCAGAACTTGGACTAATGTTAAACGGTGTATAAGGTATTTCTCCCACTTTCTTAGCGTGCCTTCACGGTGTAGTGGTTCTGCACGATGGGCCGGTATTCCTGAAGCCCGTGGTTCGATTCCCGGCGAAGGCGATTGCTAATTTTTCAATCTCTCTTGCTTCCAAAAAAATCCTAATGTCTCTACAGTGGCGCCTGAACTAAAAGGGTGTTGGATGAGGTTTCTCCACACCCAGGATTTGGCGATTGGGTCCCCTGGAAACCCTTAGGAAGGGGAATATATAAGGTATTTCTCCCACTTTCTTTGCGTGCCTTCGTGGTGTAGCGGTTCTGCACGCTGGGCCGGTATTCCAGAGGTCCCGGCGAAGGCGTTTGCTAATTTTTCATCTTGCCTGCTTCAAAAAAAAATCCTAATGTCTCTACAAGTGTAGTTAAAATATTTGAGATGAAAGAGTTAATAGTTAATTTGAAGGAATTTAAGAGAGATGAGAGCTATGTGAAAAGTTATCTTGGGATCATAATATCAACTCTTATTGAAGATGAGCGTTAATGGGTTAAGGAGGAAGAAGAATGGAAAAATCAAGAATATGAACTGCAAAAATTTACTTTTGACCCTGGAAATTCAAAAGGAATGGAACAAGAAGCTGTTCCTGACCTGACTTGACTGTTAGAATATTTTGCCAAGTTTCAGGCCTGAAGAAGATGATGTCAATATATTTCTAATTCTTCTCTAGAGACAAATGAAACTGTTGAAAGTCAAAGAAAGCTCATATCCTTGGGACTTTACCATCAGAGGTGTCTGAGCTAAATGCTAGGGAACCGCAGAAAAAATTTCAGAATTATGCTCATATGAAAGGATTTAACATGACTGCAGAAAAATTCAGGAGGTTATTTGCAGAAACTAAGAAGACTTCTGGTGGCTCTTGAAAGGAATGCTACTTCCAGCTTCAGCGGTAATATGAAGGTTGGTTGTCCGAACTGAAAATTACAAGTTTCATCAGCTAAAATATTTGAGGATTTCATACCAAGTGAAAAAGCTCAGTGCTGTTAATTGCAAAGAACACTTTTTGCCAAATGATAACAACTGATTTTCCGTGATGTTTTAGCAGGAAAAATTGATGCTTACGATGAGGTAAGGAGTTCATTTCTGGAAAATCAAGGAAGAGCTCAGGCGAAATCAGGATCTTTATCTCTTAGTGAAGCAACAGCAAAAGAATGTGCAGTCGTATTTTTTGATGAAGTAGTTCTTTAGTAGTTCTTTGGTATGGTCTGCATCTGATTAGTGATAATGCAGCACAATTTATCAGTGCCTTTATGCAACAACTGTGTTTCCTTCTTGATGTTCATCAAAGCTTGACCCTTGTTTAACACCTTCAAGCAAACCATTGAAGGAAAAGTAGGGATCTCAAGCTTAGACTAGCCATTTGGGTAGCTGAGGATCACACTTCACAACCATACATACTTTTTCAATGAACATAGCTAAATGTGAGACTACACAGCAAACTGCAACATACCTTATTTGGTAGACAGTTGAGAACAGTGGATGACGTCGATCATGATGTGAAAGCTGTTATCGAGAATGACAACTTTTTGCTGGAAATAACCCCATACTTGAGAAGATTCGCAGGTAACTGGAAAGAGATTAGAGCAATTGCTAAACTCAAGCAATATGAATGGAAGAAATATGCCGGTCATCCGAGAAAACTTTGAATGCAAGCACTGAAATAAGAAAACACTAGATTCATTGTAACACTTTCAGTCATTCTCAGCTCAATTAAAAAAATATACATTTGAATTCTCTTAATCCACATAATATGCCGCGAATATCAATCCTAATATTAATGAGTGATAAAAATCACGAAAGTGAAATGTCAGCGATTAAGCAAACTCAGAAAACGAAAGCACTACGAGATTTTCTACTATTACTCCATATATTTATAACTGCCAAACAAATGCAAATTAAAACGTAAACAACATACGCTCACATGCACGAAGATTTAGCGTCGCAAGAGCAGTAGCAGCTCATTGGTCCATTTTCGAAACCCCTCCCTCAGTGGCTACGCTGATGTGCACTTGTGAAATATGCGCACCGGAGCCCTAAATACGAAGGCTGCAGCACTTCTTTGATGTAACTGGAGAACAATTTCAGTAGAAACTTGGTGTGGAAAATTTTATTTATTGCAATAAAATTTTATGAAAATCGTTTATTAAATTTAGTTTATTGCTTTACATTTTTAATTACTTTAATCTTTAATTATTTAAATAAATAATAATAAATTTTATTTAATTAAATAATTGATAAATATTAGTTATTAATATTAATTAACTATTTAAATTTTAAATTATTAATAATATTAATAGTCATTTTATTTATTTATTTACTTTTGTTCCTCTTTGATGACGGCCTGCCCTAGAGATCCGGCACATCTAATTTTAGAAATTAAGCCCTGTCTTGCAGGATCTATCTATCGTGGAAAAGGAACAAAGTAAAGTATTTCTCTTTCTCAGTCTTTCTTTTAGTCAAGAATTTTAAAGTGAATGGTAGATAGGAAGATAATGATTGATATATTGATGTATTTCGTTGTTTTTCGACTACGAATACCCCTTTCCGGTAATTTGCGAAACGCTTAACTTAACAGAAATTATTTCTTGACGAGGTTAGGAAACTGGTTTCCACCAGAAAAAGAAAAAAAAAACTTATGTTAATTAATAAAGCATATCTTCATTAGACATACTTGATTAATTAACAATAACAACAACCTTTCCTTTTTTAATGATCTACAAACAATATAGTCCATTTCCAAGAATGGAATCATTTACTATGACGCTTTAAGGAAGAATACATTCTTATCGTTAATTAATTAATGATGTCTATACTTGATCATCTTTTGTTATTTTATCAACAAAAGGTAATTTTTTGATAAAATAACAAAAGATGATCAGTCTATTCACTAAAATATACCTGGGTCAAATACTTTTCCACTGCAATTCTCACATATATTTATGTTTTGCATATCACAGTCTGAAGATTCAGTCCTTTCAGACTTTTCATCCACAAGGAGATGTGAAACAGTTTGTTCACCACTCTGTAGTTCATTCGCAGCATACATACAGTTCACCTCGGTATTTTTAGCAGCTGGTACATACTGGTTTTTCCCCGTTTCCTGGGAACCAGCTTCAAATATTGCATCAGAGTCATGAACGGAACCCGATTTTTCACAAACACAAGTATCCAGGTTTAGAATCAAGTCCTTGTTCGCACAATCAGCACTATGGAGACGCACACATGATTTGCGAGGTGAGTGAATTTTCTTGCAATACTGGAGTACACTGCTTAAGCTGTACATCAGCTTCTCCCATCTCTGCATCACATGCATTTTCAGATGGTTCGAGACTTGCTGAGTGCGTTTTCATAACTTCACTATCAATTTCTAGGAACTTGACAGTCGCATTTTTACTTTCTTCTATCTCTACTTCTGTCACGTGAGAATCAAGATCTTCCTACCCGTCTTTTATTTCTTCATGTTTTTGTTCTTTTTCTTTAATCCCGTTAGATATTTCATCGATCATTTCTGGATCTTTCTCAGGCAGTTCGTTAGCTACTTCTTTCATTTCTTCATCCTTGGATTCTCCAGATGCCACTACTGTCATTTTCACATCTTCTTTTATGGCTCCAGTTTCTTCCACAAGTTTCACTTTCATCTGTGGAAGTTGCTTTCGCACCTGTTCTCGGCTGGCTTTGATCTCAGCTGTCATCTCTTTATATTCAGCTTTTATCTCTTTACATCCAGCTTTTATCTCCTCATCATATCCGGCTTTTATATCAGCACATCCGGTTTTTATCTCAGCATATCCGGCATTTATCTCCGCACATCCGGCCTTTATCTCAGCAAATCCGGCTTTCAACTCCTTCTGTCCGGCTATGATCTCGGCTAAGAAGTCCATCAAAGTCTTCGTTTCCTCCGCCATGGCTTACCTCTGCAGGCGGGTTACTGGCATTCACTCGCAAATCCCACTGAAACAAAGAAATTACTCAAAAGCTTTGGAGAGTATTGTATATGCTAATAATTTAGATTTGACGGAATTATGGAGCTTAGATGTCGTCGGTATAAGATGTCCTGCAGAAGTAAAGTCAAGGCAGGTAACCGATGAAGAAACGGTAGATTTTTTCCGTAAAAATATTAAAAGAAAAAGACAAAAGATATGAAGTATGTTTGCTATGAAAAAGTAGACGTCCAGAATTAGAAACGAGTAAAGAATTAGCCACGAAACGGTCAACTACCGAAAATCTCATTAGATTTGCACGTTTAATAGAATATGATGATATGTTTAATGAGTGGGTTCGGGATGGAATTATTGATTTGTAGATAAAGACGAGAAAAAGGGACACTATTTACCACATCATCCTGTGATAAAAACTGGTGTAACAACAACAAAAATTCGTCCGGTTTTTGATGCGTCGACGAAAGATTCTGAAGGAAATTCCTTGAATAATTGTTTAGAAAAAGGGCCAAATTTATTAGAATTGGTACCCAAATTAATAATGCAGTTTCGGAAAAACGCAATTGGCGTAACATCAGATATCAAAAAAGCATTTTTACAAGTCAGTTTGAATCCAGAGGATAGGGAATATTTTTAATTTCTGTGGTGGAAGGATCTATCAAGACGAGAAGAAATAATAACTTTCCGACGTTGTGGAGTGGTATTTGGTGTTTTTTCTAGCCTCTTTTTACTCGAAGCAACTATAGCTTACCATCTAGAGAACGCTCCGGATGAAAGGAAGCAAACAGCTTGTCGACTCAAAGAATCTACCCAAAATTCTTCTTAGCATCTCTTTCAACATTCTAATCATGCGCTCCCACCATCATCCCCACAAGGCGGCTACTGGAGGCTTAAAATTCCATTTGGTATTCTTGATAGTGGAAAACGACATGATCTTCTCCCAATCTAATACATAATTAAAGGATTCGAAAATAACTATGGATTTAATATGAAAAAACACTTTAATTGCAGATATTTACAAAATTTAGAAGCAATTATTCTTACAAACAACGATAGAGCTTATTTTTAAAATATAAAACAGAGTCGAGTTGTAGCTGGTATTACTCAAACAACCTCACACCTTGCAATTTGTAAGATACCTATAAATTGCAACAAAAGTTATAAATCAAGTCTATTGGGAATTTTAACACGTCGACCAGCTTTAGTGACAAAATCTGGGACTTTGGGTGATGAATCATCATCTTCACTGGAATCTGAATCGTTAGCTGCAGGGCATAGAGGCATCTTCGTAGAGGAACTTTCATACCTTCGAGAATCTTGGGCCATGATTGGTAACTTTTCCGAACTGTTGACTGTAACGTTTCCCAACTTTTAACGCATAAAGTCTCTGGAATGGTCTCAACTTCTCTCCATCAGCTGTTCTCACTCTGGAAACTCTTGAGTGCCCATCTGCTCCAGAAAAGACTTCAATGACAATTCCTAGAGGCCAGTTGATACGCTTGCCATCAGTTTCTAAGAGAACGACGTCCCCAACTCTTAACGATTCTTTCCGGTTCTTACCTTTATGAATCAACATTGCTAAATACTCATTCCAAAATCTCATTCTTAAATCCTGCCTTAATTTTTATACAAAACGCAATCTTATATTTAGGCTTTTACTGTCGATTTCGTCAAAATCAGCTATTTCACTGCTAGGAATACTTTGTAAGAAACAAGCGAGAGTTAATGGCTTCAGACCTTCCGAATTGTCTTCAATATATGTGAGTGGCCTAGAGTTTATTTTAGCTTCGCAGTCACATAAAATAGTTTCCAACTCTTCATAGTCAAGACGTTTTCTGCCCAAAATTCTTCTTAGCCATCTCTTTCAACATTCTAATCATGCACTTCCACCATCCTCCCACCAGGCGACTGTTGGAGGGCTAAAATTCCATTTGATTTTCTTGATAGTGAAAAACGACATGATCTTCTCCCAATCTGAATTTTTTAAAGTATTGCTTGAATCAATAAAGTTTGTACTGTTGTCAGTGTAGATTATATTTACTCTACCTCTCCGAGTAAAGAATTGTCTTAAAGCTATAATAAAAACTTCTGTAAACAGGGAATTGACTAATTCAAGATGGACAGCCCTGTAAATGGCACAGGTAAAAAGTACAACCCATGTCTTTTCTCCAGAACGCAAATACAAAGGGCCTGCGAGATCAATTCTAGAAACTTCAAAAACTGCAGCAGCCTTTATTCTGTTCTTAGGAAGAGGTGCAAAAGGTGGTTCTGCAGGTTTGGCTTTGAATCTTTTACATGAAATACAACTAGAGCTAACTTGTTTCGCTTGTTGATCGAAATAATCCAGTAATCTTCTCTTAAATTGGCAATCAGATTTCGAAGTCCTGCATGTTGTAGTTCACTCACAATGCTTCTGCCTTACCAGTCGATGAATAATCTCATGGCTTCCGGGCAACAATATAGGGCACATGAAATTTTCCTCTTCATCTCCCAAGAGAAGCTTTGTTCTGAGTCGAACAATATCGTTTTCGTCTCTGAATGTTTGCACGTTCTTCAAGGTTTTCATTTTTATTCCGGCAAAACTTTCCTGCTGAATTAATTTTAGCAAACAGTTTTCCGCTGATTGAACTTCTTCATAAGTCAGTTCAGTTTTCTTAAGTTTTTCTTTTCATTGACAGTTTTTAATGAAACGAAAGGTGGTTCTAAAAACGAAATCCAGGAAAGCATTCTAAGATTCTTCGTATATTTCGTGAAATAAAGTAAATTGTCAGTGAAGTTGACTGATCCATGCTCCACATTACTGACTATCATTTTTCTCTCTTCCGATGCAACCGAATTTTCATCAATAACTTGTTTTCCACTTAATGGCCAAAATTCTTGTGACTTCCATAACCATTCTGGACCTCCCCACCATTTGTTTTTCAATAAGTTCTTAGCATCACAACCTCTTAAAGGCAAATCTGCTAGGTCCATATGCCCTGGCACAAAATGCCAGTCATTCGAGTTAGTATTCTTTCTTATTTCTGTGACTCTGTTTCCTACAAACGTATTCCAAAAATTCTCTCTTTTGATCCAAGTTAAAGCAAGAGTTGAATCAGTCCAAAAATACACTGTATTGTCTTTCAATTCCAGTTGTCTACGACTTGACCATATGATGTTGATAAGATCAAAGCTCCCCAAGAGTTCTAATCTAGGAATTGTATTCTCTTTGGTAGGTGCCACTCTTGACTTACTCGTTACTAACTTGACTGAAATCTTCTCATTAAATTCAGAACGTAAGAAAATACAGGCAGCATAGGAAACTTCACTGGCATCACAGAAACAATGTAGACTTATTCGGCAATCTTCAAATGGACCTGAGACGAGTCTCTGTGGAATCTTACATTCTTTCAGTAAAGATGGTTCCTTGACCCAGGCTAAAATTCTATTTGATATATCTATTGGAAGTACATCGTCCCAATCAATTTTCCTCTTCCAAATGTTTGGAAGCAATACTTTAGGTAACATTGAAACGGGATATGTTATCACAATAGGGTCAAATAATCCTAGGGCAGCCGATAACACAACTCTTTTAGTAATCCTCTTTTCTGGAATTTCAACCATGCTGCCGCTAAAAAGTTCATCGGTTTCAGTGTCCCAAGAGAGACCTAGAATTGAAATGAATTTGTCATGTGTCTCTTCTACAATTTTTCAGAAGAAACTCAGCTTTGTAGTTCGAATTGTGCTGAAGCCATCAGCTCCTTAGCTTCAGAAATAAATTTTTCTGTCTCTTCTTTAGTTTCTAAACTCGTAATACAGTTGTCCACATAAAAAGATTGAGTCAACAAGCTGTAAGCTTCCTTTCATCCGGAGTGTTCTCTAGATGTAAAGCTATAGTTGCTTCTAGTAAAAAAGGACGAGGAGAAGTTCCAAATACCACTGTGCAATGTCGGAGAGTGATTGTGTCTTACAACCGTGTTATACAAACTGAAAAAACCTCCGTGTTATACAAACCTGTGCAACATAGCACTGGTTTGTTGTCAGTGCTCTGTCCAGTAACATGAGGGATAACTTCATGCATAAGTTTATAGTGCGTTAGCATAAGTTAATCCTTAGCAATACACTCTTGCCAATGTACCTAATTTAATTTGGCAATTAAAGACGTATTGTTTTGCTAAATTTTGTCTTGCTTGTATCGCGAGCTGAGGAATTTAGATCTGAATTATATTAGTTTAGTTATTTATTATAATTACATCTATTTCGGCACATACTTAAGGCTTATGTGAGTCCCAAATATATAAATTAATCTGAATTATCTGATTATTATCTAATTAAAATATCTGATTCTCGAATAAGTTCCCACATGTTCTTAAATGTTGAACCAAGGCTAAACATTTTGCCACCCGGTGCAATCTCTGCTCGTCTTTAAATTCTGCTGCCATGTGCCTCCCTAAATTCTAAAAAATTTACTGCCTCTAAATTTTTCCTGTGCCTTTTCCTAAATTTTAAAGATTTTATTTATTTATTTATTATCATCATCATTATTATTATCTTTGTAAAATTTTGTTGCTTGTTGCAGCCATGCCAACTCTAGTGAAGGCCCTCAGCTTATCCGAATTACAAATCAGTTCTTTTTTAATTCAAACCGTACACGAAATCGTGACTTGTCGATATGGCTCGTACTAAGCAGACTCCTCGTAATGAAGCGGTTCCACCTGATAAAGGCACGGATCCGATCTCGGACAGCTCGAATACGACGAACAACGATATGGACCAGGGCAATGATCACGTTCTCACCGACCAAGAAATCGCTACTCTACGTTTGGAAATCCAGCACAAGGAAGCTGAACTGGCGACAGTTAAACGCTATTATAATGCACTTTCGGCTGGCAGGCCCGTTACGGACCGAGATTACCACACGGATATTCTGAAAAAGGACATGGATAGTAAGAAGAAGCTAATCGAGAAGCTGAGGGGTAAGTTAAACTTTGCTCTTTCTCATGCAAGCTCCACACAGCCAATCGCATAAATGCAAACCACGTGACAACTCAGACAGCGAAGATGACTCGAAAGGATTTCAAAAACCACTTAAGACTGTCAAGGTTCCCATAAATATTCCACCAAACACTATTTCAAAACAGCTTCAACGCGCTCTCGCAACCTAACACTCACACCAATCAACCTCAATAGTCAATTAATAGCACACAATCACCAGATGCACGACTCCCAAATTACAGTACACCTACACCGATTATGGTTAAGCCGACAGATGGCGCCACACACAACCAATACATCAAAAAACTCACAACACTTACACAAGCTACTTTCTATGGCAAAATCAGCGGCGAATACATAAAATTACTACCCTCAACAACAGACGACCACAGACAACTCACCACAGACCTACAAAAACACAACATCGAACACCTAAACACAATGTCATTACACCTAAACACAAACGACCTGTTAAAGTAGTCATCCGAGGTCTACCCATCACTACAGAAACACAAGAAATATCCACAGAACTCACAAACCTAGGATACACAGTACACAAAGTAGTCCAACTCACAAGATTTAAAACTAAACAACCCATGCCACTATTTCAGGTACAACTCATGCAGACACACAACATAGACAAAATCTACAGTGAAACACACCTAGGTATGTTCATCATTACAGTTGAAAAATACATAAACAAAAACATTACACCTCAATGCCACAACTGCCAACGCTTTAACCACTCCTCAGACAATTGCTTCTTTTTACCTAGGTGTGTTAAATGCGCACAACAACACAAAACAACAGATTGCCCCTCACAAGGTAAACTTGATAATCCCATCTGTGCAAATTACCACAAAAACCACCCAGCTTCTTACCGCGGTTGCGAGAAATTCCCCAAAAACACAAACAGAAACACCAACAGCTCACCAAATTACACTTTCACTCCAAAAAACACTACTTCACAAACATCTACACTTACACAAGGCAGAACATATGCACAAGTTACCTCAAACAACACTCATGGCACTAGAAACCAGAACAACAACACTACACTCAATACCAACACTTTCACAGACATATTTTCCACTTTAAAAGAATTAAACAACATTTTCGGCAATAGCAACATATTTAAATTTTTCTCAATTCTTAAAAATAACATTGATCAACTAAAATCAGCTGATACACCCATGGAAAAGCTACTCATATTATTTAACATATGCGAAGAAGCAAATATCTTTAATTAATTAAAAAAAATGAAAATATATTTCTAAGTACAAATCACGGAGTATAATAATGTTATACTCCGTGGTACAAATACATTGCTTGCATGAGGCCCGTCAGCTCTCTTCATGGAGGTCCTCCATGGCTCTCTTACAGAAATTCACTTTTTCAACCATTGGCTACTCCATACCACGTGACCTGACGATTTTCCACCACAGCCAGCCTTCTCTCCACCCATCGACACCGCCCTCAACTTTGTTTCTCCCATCGCATCGATCCAACACCTCCTAGAACTAACTCAAGGCCACGGCGCGCAGTTCGTGACGTCACTGCAGTAGGGATACTTTCGTCCTCGCCAACTTTAAGGGCGCCTTCTTAAATGTCCATTTGACAGGCTTATAATTAAACTGAAATTTTTATATTTAATTCTCATCGTTTATAAATCTGGAAAATACCTTGCTTTCATTAGAATGTGAAGAACCGAGATTTTTATTTTTAGAATGTTTTCGATACGAATAACTAGAATTTTTAATTCCATTAAAAGTTATTACTGATTTTACCAAATTTAATCGCTGAGTAACTCTTGTTAACGAAAGAAACTTCACACTTAATGAATCGGAATTTTATTTGTACGCAATAATTAAACAGAAAGACAATTTAAGACATGAAGGCAGGATATAGATCCTAAAAAATTGAGATAAATTCTGATTTAAATTATGAAGCTATTTTACCTGGAATCATGTAGAAAACATAAAATCATTAGTTGAAAACAAATATAATTAATCAGAGATGTTTATTGGTCAAGAGTCGTATTAATTATACTTACAACAATTTATGCCTTGACTAATAAACATCTTTGATAAGTATAAGTAATATATCTTATTTTTAACATATGTTGCCGAATAATAATAAATACTCACGTTTGAAAAAAATAACGCTAAGCTTGCAACGATTTAAATAAGTTTTCATAATTATTTGAGACATTAGGTGCACAGAGAGAATTAAATATTATTTTGCATTTTAAATGGCAAATATCAAACCTCTGATAGAGGTCTGGTATAGATATAAATAGCTAACCTCTGATCTTTACAGGAAAATTTTATAACATGGTTTAGCAGTATTATGTGGAAGGCAAATGTAACAAATCCTAAACTGGGATATTGAACACAACAAATGAAAAACACAATTATCATTGCATTATTACTGCCAAATAAAATGACTAAAATATAATGCCCTTAGGATGCACTAAATTATACATTACAATTCAAAATAATATATACAATTCGAAATACTTTAGATAATATGTATATGCTTATTTTCAATCAGTCAACTAAAAAGAGGAAGGATTGTTCCAATAGAGGAAAAGAAGAGAAAGAAGAAAATCATCGAAATTGTCTTTGCAGTCAATTCAGAATTATTCAAAACTGTCTGTATTTTTACACATGAAGTTTTTCGGCTTTAAACTGAGCATACATTATTCAATTTCATTAAAATTTGTAGCATAAAATAACATAGGTTAGGTTAAGTTATTTTAATTACGGCCAAGCCTCGAGGGCTATCTGCCTAAGGGAAGGGATGCCTTCGTTGAGGACTTTCTAAGGGAAACTGGCTCGTATACACGTTACACAAGGGGGAAAGCCCCGAAAACACCCATGCAGCCAGCCCGTTCGCGGAATTCGAACCTCGGACCGAACTACCAGTGTTCAGCGACTTAACCGCTCGGCCGCTGGTGGACCGCTAAAATAACATAAGTTAATGTTTCTTCACGACTAATTGAAAGAAAATCATACTTGTCTATTAATTGTACAAAGTGAAACAGGTAACTAGTTTTGAAGAATCATGTCTAATTAGATAGAAAAATCTTTTGTCAAATAAAGAGTTGCCAAAATTTAATTATATACTTACAAAAAATACGAAACACTTGCATACAAAGATTGTTATAATCGGATTTAATTATCTAAACTAGAATTAAATACAAGATTTTGTAAAACTTCATATTTAATTATTTACTTTATATTAAGTGAATTTTAAGAATATCAGGCATGAACTCACAAAAATTTAAATAGCGTATTTTTTTCGCATTGATATCAGAAAACAAAATTGGTATTAGTTACAAAAATATTATCAAGATTTTTCAAGGTCTTCGGATTTTAATAAATACGCTGTTCCTGTGACAAATGTATCGAGATATTTAAAGGCAAGCATTTTGCAATATACAAAATGTATTTACAATTTTGAATTTTTATTAATCCTACATTTAATCTAATCCTACTTTTAAGTCACACATTTGTTTAATTTACTTAACTTGGTAAATGATGCTATTTACTACAAAGTGACTAGCATGATGATAAAGAATGCCATCTGCTATAGATTGAACGATTAGCATGATGATAAACAGTATT